TCGCTTTTACATCATTACCGTTATTGTTATTTAATATTATTATTGTTGTTATTTTTATTGTTATGACTATCATAAGCGTTATCATCGCTGTTATCACTTCAGTCATATCATGATTGTTTTTATCAAAATATATGTTATATTTAACTTTAAATTTCACTTATCATAACTTGAAAGGCAAAATTATTTTAAAATTTCTTGGGTTTTTTTTAAGTTAATATTAGATAGACTTCTTGGATTGAAATTTCTTAGAAATTCTCACAGATTTCCGTATTCAAAATCGCACTGCGGTTTACGATCGATAGCGAAAGCAGCATCCAGTCACATGGTATATAAATTTTAACAGTTCCAGTCATGATGAGAAGGGAATGTGGAAGCATTTATCCAACTAGGCTTGGATGGTACGAATCATTGTCAATCTGACCAGTGGTCAATCTGACCAAAGATTAAGCATCCATATATGCAGAGGCGCAAAATATACATTTTTTTGGGCGCGGCATGAAAAGTAAGATGAATGAAACAAGTTTAAAAAAAAATGAAAATGGATAAATCTTGATATGTGTAATATAACTCCTTTTACCCAGCCATTTGAGTCTTTGGTATTTTTTTATTTTTTTTTTTTTTTTTTCAGGAAGCAACTGCACTACTTGATTCGTTGCTATCGGCCAAAGAGAATTTCGTTCGACAAGGCGCTGTCATTGCACTATCATTTATTCTTATACAACAAACTGATGCAATTTGTCCGAAAGTCAGCGAATTCCGAAAAACATTGACAAAGGTGTGTTGGAAATATGATCAGTATTTTTTCTTGCAGCGAATTTAATCTTGAGAGAGAATCTCCAAAGAATTTAAGCCAACTTCTCGTGCATGACGGTAAACATCGCTTCTGTTTGTACCTATCCTGTTGGTCATGTGTTGCAGATGATCACTGAAAAAGGCGAAGATTCGATCACGAAGTTTGGTGCTATTCTGGCGCAAGGTGTTATGGATGCTGGCGGTCGTAATGTGACCATCTCGTTGCACAATCGTAATGGTCATCCGGACATGCAAAGTGTTGTTGGTACATTTGTCTTTTTGCAGTATTGGTACTGGCATTCACTTGCCCATTTCTCGTCGCTGGCATTCAAACCGACCTGTCTCATTGGTCTCAATTTGAATCTCGAAGTGAGCTATATTTTTTGGTTCGATTTTTCGCGAAGTTGCATTTCACCTAAAATACCTTCAAATAATCGGTTTTAATAGTTCTGGCGTTTTCAAACTTTCTAATTGAAACTT